CATCATGACGTTCTTGATGCCAAAGTAAAAACACTCAACTTCGTTTTTTCTTAGGAGCGCAATATCGGATTTTTGAATTTTTGAAAAGTCTTTTACCTTTTTGATTACAATGATGTAGGTATCACACGATATGATCGAATCTTTCCTGTCGATCAAAATTGGCAAAAAAACATTTTTGCGAAGAGTGCTTTGGACTCGGCTTTGGAAGAAATGCCAACAGTTTTGTTTAACAAACTGAATTTTGACCTTTCACTTTTCTATCGATACTTCCACGGGAAATGTTCTTCGGAAATCTCTGCTATCATCCCTTCACTAGCAATACCAATCAGACGAACTAGACAGGCCCAGTCAGCACATCCTTTCATTGTCAACCTCGAAAGATGTCGAACAGCACTTTATCAAGACTCCTTCATCCATAGAACGGCTAGGCTCTGATGGAATTCATTGCCTGTGGAAATATTCCCAACAACATATAATCTCCAAAAGTTCAAAAAAAATTCCAATACCTACCTCCTGTCCCTATCCTCCCTAGGAACGCACGATGTTCTTCGAACATTATAGGGATTCCCTTTCGTGCGCTCCAAGCGATAAAAAAATAAAAATAAATTGAATATGCGAACAGAACTGTTGAATTCTTAAGCTTATCCACATAACGCAAGAAGGGTTGCAGAGTGTCTGTCAGATATGTTTCCTGACAAGGTAATTTCCAACAATGGAGACATATATACGTTGGCCAGCACGGTCACCTGATCTCACTCCGCTGGATTATTATTTATTGGGAACTAGGAAAGATTTTTCAAAACATGTCAAAACTGTACCGATCGATATTGATGAGCTGATAAGAACCATAATCAGCACTTTCAGGACTAAGATAAGAAGACGAAACATCTCGCGAGCAATTCAGAATCTGAGGAAACGCGTAGATTTGTGTTTAGACTTTGTTTTGTTTTGCGAAGAATAAACTTCTAGCTCATTACGTCATTCCTAATTCAAAATCATAGTTTTTGAGTAGATGAGCTTGAGAAAATGTGAACGTTCCAGATGCAAATTCAAATAAACTGTCGAAATTCAGCTTGTTGAACAAAACTGTTGGCGTTCTTTCCAAAGCACTCTTCGCAGTCATGTTTTTCCCCAATCAACATGAAATATTCAATCATAACGTGTAAAACATCATTGTAATCAGAAAAAAAAAGACTTTAAAAATTTGAAAAATCCAATATCAAAAAATAAAAACGAAAATTATAAACGACCCCGCACCAAACTATAGGGAAAATGGCTCTCGATGAAAATCGCTGAATTTTTGGTATGTTGCAGAACAGATTTTCCATTGAACCGAGATTGAACTAACCTCAAAAAATGGACAGTTCTTCCGATATAGACCTCCAAATATCATTTTTTCGAGAAAAAAATATCTGAAAATGGTTGAATTTCTGGCATGTTGTAGATAGGAATGATCTGATGAAAAAATCCAATTGACCTGACCTCCAAAAATTGACAGTTTTCTCGATATCGACCTCCAAATGTAATAGTTTGGTGCGGGGTCCTTTTCGTCTTTTCCAATAATTCAAAAACTAAAAATGACACAAATTTTCTTGCAGACAAATGGTCATCAGGAATATGCGCAACTTTGTCCTAATTTAACCGACCTCTTATATCTCTTATAATAACTGAAACCCCATGGTGGAGCTCGAAATAAAACGGACGCCCACGGAAAAAATATTAGATTTCAGCTCACAGTGTTTTGTTTGACAACAGAACCTCGAGCTAAAATCTACAACTTTTTTCCCTTGTATAATAAATAACTATAAACTCGTTGGAGAGATAACCCAAATCTGCCTATGGCACCAGCCAGCACGTTTCCACCTGACTTGTTATGAAATATTTCATTTCCATAACCTTGGCATCAGTCGCAATTATTGTTCACGATGTAAGTAGAAGTATAATAATATCTAGAAAACGTAAACATGGTTATTAACAATTTACGGTTAATTGTTTATAGGCCGATATATCCGCAGAGAGCACACCTTTAAAAAACATTTGTTTCATATTGTTGATACTGCGCGATTAAGTTGATAAGAATCGTCATCCAGTGTACTTTGTACTTATCACATTTTTTTTCGGTGAGTTGGATTCATTGTGAATGAGTTTTTTTGTATCACTAGATTGTCTCATTAATTATAAAATCAAATGGATTTTTGTTGTTACATATAAATGCAATGTGAAAAAAAAATAATTAGTAGGTAATCTTTTTTTATTTACGTAACAACATCTATAATGAGCTTGCTTCCCATGGAAGATAAATAATATCCTTGAAAATATTAATAAGAAACAGGTGCAAAACAATATACAATGTGTGATCACTATAGAAGTACCAATCACCATCATTCGTAATAGAGCGTAGGATATATAATGAAAATCTCATGGACGTCCGATGGATATCCATTTCTATTCAACATGGGACAAATATTGGACGTGAATAGTACCAAAACGAGCGAGCATAGAATCTCTATTGGACATCTCGTCTTAACGAATCCCGTTCATTTTGGTCCTTCGCAAAAGCTGAATCCTCCATAAATTTGAGATGAACACCAATTCCTACCTCATTTCCCTTGGTTCTCACGATGTTCTCTGATATGACAGGATATCGCTTTTTTTTGGGAACCAGATCATATAAAAAAATTCGATGTATATTAATTTTTATTGAACACTAGCTGACCCGGTAAACGTTGTTTTGCTGTATACATCATTTTCATAAGATATTTTTCCAGTTAAATGTCCACACATTTTTTTTATTCTATTTTTTATATACGTCTGAACTGAAGTTCGGCAATCTATCTCTTTAATCAATTGAACTACTAGTTATTTTCTACTTCCTTATAGTTTAACTATTTATAATCGTTATCGTTATCATCGTTAGCCATATTGGATTCCCAATTTTGACAAAAAAATCTTCGACCCCAAAAACCCTTAGATCCATCATCTTGAATTTACCGATTCCATAAAAGAATCATTATTTTCAACTTCGACAACACCCAGATACCAATTTTGAATAGAATCAGTTCATAATTATTACGAAACTCGTCCGGAATATCGAATCCACCATCTCAAATTTCCTGATTTTGACCAAGTAATCATAATCTACGACCCCGAAAACCCCCAGATACCAATTTTGAATGGAATCGGATCATAATTACAAATCTCGTCTGCCATATTGGATCTGCTATCTTGAATTCGTGATTTTGACGAAGGAACCATAATCTTCGACCCCAAAAACCCCAAGATACCAATTTTGTATAGAATCGGACCATAATTACAAAACTCGTCCGCCATATAAATCGGATCCGCCATCTTGGATATCCCAATTTGTAAAATAGTTTTATACCGATTCTCAGACCTACCAAATATGTTTCGGAGGAGTTTGGCAACAAACACTGTGACACGAGAATTTTATATAGGGTGTTTGGTTCACCGAAATACCTATATATGGAAGGAAGTGGTGGATAATGTGATTTTGAACATAGTAAACCATATATACTATTATACAAAGTGTTACACATTTCGAGAAAACATCACTTATAAATTCGAAGTTAGATGTTACAAAACATCGTTTTTTAAATGTCTATAGAGCCAGAATTTTTTTATCCTATCAAGATTCAAGATCACATTACGTGTTCAATATCGATGAAATACGTATTCAACTGATTGAGAAAGAAAGATACAATCAGGTTTATTAATGTTTGACAAATCTATGATATCTCGAAATTCTCAACACTTTACATAATAGAGCATATGGTCATATTAGGACTGAATAGCAAACAAATTGCCTTCTTTCAGAGCTAACCGCTAAACAATACACCTACCATGCCTGCCCACCCGACGCGATTTTACTAAATATACTGCACGCTAGCACAAACCACGCCCACCATAATACGTCATATCTCCAAACATTACCGATATACTCGGAGTCAGCACATCGCACTAAATATAATGTGCTTCAACGAAAGAATACACTTTTTATGATTTTGACACGAATTCGACTGAAGCTCTCTCGTTGTGAATCTCTTGTACGCAGTAAATTCATACACCCAAATGGTCTACTGGTTAGAGCTGTCGACTTTCAGTCTGAAGGTCCATGGTTCGAATCGCTGTGAACTTGAACTTTTTTTGCAACTTTTTTTTTCACCAATGTTTTTTTACTTCATTCTGGTTTTCCTTTTTCATAAAATATTGGAAGTCAAATAGGTTAGTGCGTTTAGGATAAACAGTCTCATTTTATTCAATTTTGTTGAAGAACTCAACTTTTGAAATATATTATTAATCAATGTGTTTCTACACTCCATTCGGTTTTCCTTCTTCGAAAATATTGCAATCAGGGATAGGTTAGTTCGTTGAGGATAAATAGTCTCTGAGTTTTGCCTAAGTAAAGTACTTTGAAGATGAGATATAACGGTGGGCGTGGTATGTGCTAGCGTACAGTATATTTAGTAAAATCGCCCACCAGACCCGTTGACCTCGCTCCCGCCTCAAGGAACCACGCCCCCATTGCTCGACCACGCCTCCTTTGCGCCACGCCCCTTTTCCTGCTGCTTCGCTACAGCTATTTTCATTTTCCCAGTATCTTTTATATTTTTGTTGTTGTTTTACGTAATAAAAATGTCAACCTAATCGGCAAGCCGTTTAGTAGTTGACATACTGACAGCATCGCTACTCACTCACTCAGGAAACCATCGAAATACCTTTATAAAATATCAACTCAATTGGTTCAGCAGTTTAATTAATAATTATTACTACTCGTTGTCCTATCACCCGTTTTCCCATAAGGATGAAGCATTTCCCCGCGGTTAAAAGTAGTCTATGCTCATCAAGTATTATGTTGGCTTCTAATGGTAGAAGATTTTGCCCAAATCGGTCCAGTGGTATCCTGGTAGCCTATTCAATACAAACAATCAAATCTTGCCTCTATACAATAAACATTGACCAACCAATTTGTCTTCTTTCAGAGCCAACCGCTGAAAACCCCGCCTACCATGCCCGCACATCCGACCCGTTGACTTCGCCTCCGCCCCAAGGAACCACACCCCCATGGCTCGACCACGCCTTTTCGATGCCACGCCCATAATTCTGCTGCTCTGTTCCGTTGATTGGACGCGCGCGCAGGCCGACGCCGCTACGACGTCGGACGGCTGCTATGGCGGCGGCAGCGTCGCGGCGGCCGTCGTGGTCACGTGCCTGCTGACGGCGCTGGTGCTGGGAGTGTGCGCGGTTTGGTGGAGGAGATACAGGGCGAAGCAAGGTGAGGCGAGTTTCGATTTTTCCTGATTGTGTATGGTACTGAAAAAAATATGTCTTGACTCTGAAGTGAATGTAAAAACTTCACGGACGATAAGATTTCCACAAAATTCTTGATGACACGACATGTTTCGCTAACACAATAGCTTCTCCAGGTGATATACTGGTACAATAAATTAAACTTACATTGACTCGCCAGACTTTTATATCCTATAGTTTCTCAACCTGAAGAATTATGATACCTGTGGTTAAACCTTCATCTTTAGAGAGCGGGCAAAATATCTACATTAAAATACGATGTTCTGGAATAACTTTAATGGTTGCTTAAAGGAATTACCTACTAAGAAAACAAATTGAAAAGCGGTTCTTGAGGTCTAGTTGATAGTAAAATTTCGAAATTATAATAAAAACTATGGTATTCTTCTAATATATGGCTCGCATATATTGAATTCATTTTCTTTTCCAAAAAATTTTACTTATGTTCATGAATACGGTGATGAAATGTTCGATCTGTTCGACCAATATATACTTCAGGACAAGACCCACATTTTTGAAGGTTTATTAACCAAAGATGTAGTTGAATTGGAACACATTCTGGCTGAACCCTTGTCAAAATTGACAAATAGCTAATAATTTCGTATTAGCTATTTCTCTATATAAATTGAAACATGATTCACTAAGACCTATATTCAAAAATATCTTAAGAAAATATGAAGAAGCGTATTGAAAATTTCATTAACAACAATTATAGTTTTGATAATAATCAGTTCGGTTTTCAAGAAAATAGTGGAACACAAGCAGCAGTATAAGTAATACAAAAAAATCAAAAACGACTAGATACGGGAAATAACGTTGTAGCTCTTTTCATTGATCTCAAAAAGACATTTAATAAAGTTGACCATAAGAAACTCTAAAAATACTTCTCTTAGACACAGAGCAATTGTTAAAAATTTCAATCAGCACTAAATTTGTCAGAGTGTAATAGACTTCCAATAAGTAAAGGTGTTCCACAGAGATCTGTTTTAGGGCCCATCTTGTATTTATTATATATTCAGAATATTTATAAAATCGAATTTTCAGGTAATTATATTATATATGAGGATGATACTGTACTTGTGTACGATAACAAAAACCTCTTCATTCTAGAAAATATGGAAAATATTATTATAGGGACATCTTTTGGGGACCTCCCAGGGACTTCTTTCAGTGATTTCCCAGGCTATCCTTTTAGGGAAGACTGAGCCCACTAAGCAAAGTAATATCTCAACAATATTGCAGCAATATTTCAATGTTATGTGTAATGTTACATCAGATATTGTCGCTATCTTACTGCAAGGTCGCAGCAACTACTGAAACGGACGTTCAGCAATATTATGAATGTAATGTTCGCAAATGAATCATTCCAGCAGAGTTATTGTAACATTGTGTATGAAGTAAAGTAACATTTCATACTCAATGAACGAATGTAATCTAATTGTTATATTTTATTAAGGTTACTGGCAACATAAGATAAAAAGTATAGGAAAATTTTATATTTTATATTATAAATTATACATAGTAACAATATTCTAATAATCGAATAATCGTGTCGACTATTTCATAATTTAAAAGTAGATTGAGAAAATTTCTGAATAGTTTCGATATACAGGGTGTTTCCTGACTACGGTTCCTAACTGTAGGTGGTGATTTGTTAGGTCATTTCAGGAAGAAAAGTTTCTATCAACATATGTCCGGAGTTGCTGCGTTTCTGAGGTACAGGGCGTTGAAATTGAAGAAAAAAAAAACGGTAATTATATAGTATCATGAATCTCTTGAAACCGATTAGGTTGAAATTTGGTACTTTTATTTGAACTAATAAGGCGCTTATTTAGCCCTATTTAGATAGAAATTATTGGGGCCAGTGGCGTCTCAGTGGGCACCACAGCCAACAATATTGTAAAAAAAAGTACGCCACTTACTTTCTTCGGTAAGTTTCATTTCTTTTTCAGATTAAGCAACTCGAAATACAACTTTTTGGCCTTCTGTATTTTCTTCATATCCAGCTTCGTTTTCTAGAAAAAAAAATCAAAGCCACTGTATTGCATATCATGAACACCTGCATTGAAGAAATGAATTTTTCATTATTTCCGCCAAAAATTTGATTGACCCTTGACGTGCTGAAATTTTAGGAAATTTCACAAAAGAAGGACCAAATTTCAACCAAATCGGTTCCAGGATATTCATGATATTTTATAATGACCTTTTTTTTCTCTTTAATTTCAACGCCCTGTATCTCAGAAACGAAGCAACTCCGGACATATGTTCATATTAACTTTTCTTCTTTAAATGACCTAGCAAATCACCCCCTGCAGTTAGGAACCGTAGTTAGGAAACACCCTGTATAACGGTACTAGGGCTTATAGGCACTGCACTGCATAAGAACCTGGAACAAAGGAAATAATGATAAAATAAAATAGTCAGGAATCTACCTGTTATAGTTGAGTTAGTTCATCTACCGGTTAAACTTGAGAGTTGAGGATTGTATACTTTATTCTGGAAATATTCATTTTCCAAGGTATGCTGAGAGTATCCTTATAATATACACTGAAGATAATATGGATATTCCTCAGCATCTAGAGAATATTCTGAAGAACGATATTCGAGGTTGTTTCAGAATGAATTGTGAGTGCGAGCTCAGAGTTTTTTCTACAACAGCTAAGTGCAGTGAAATGAGAGATAAGATTTGATGATTCGAGCAATATGATTCTACTATCACTATGAGGTTAAACAAAACCTCAATGTCCCTGAGTGTTTCAGTAATAAAAAGGACTGATTTTCTATAATTTGTAATGTTTTATAGAGTTCCTGATAAAGAGCCGATAAAGACCCGAAAGCTCAAACAGAAACAATAAGAGAGTAGGTACACTTTGATTCACTTTGACTGCACACTCAAAGGAATTCACGAGGTTGTCCTATAACTTTGAGTAGGTATACGAATAATTATAATCATTCTATGTTATTTATTGTCGATCGAACGATCCGCTCAGATCAATGAACGATGTATGAATTTGTAAAATGTATACCTAACCTAAAATAACTGATGTTGACTTACCTAACCATCAACTGCTAACTCCGATTCAAAACCTTCCCAACTGTCTAATATCACATATCGCCAAATCATCACTTTTATGTTCCAAAGTATATTATTTATTGGTATAATCTGCCATTTGGACGTGTACAACAACAAAATACCTGTTACCGAAGCCAAACACGAACAAATATGGCGACTAAGATACTGGCGTTTATCGAATGCAAGTTTGCGACTGCGCGTAGGCATTTCATGAAATGGCGTCCCTCGATCGATACCCAATGTAGCATTTTGTATATTTCAGCTATATTACATTTTTTAATCAAATATGTGTTGCATTTCATGAGGTGTAGCAATATTGTTTGTAGTTAGCTCATGTTATTTACAAACTCAATGAAGAATCAATGTTGATGCAACATTACAATTTAAAATTCCATATGTAACGTTGCACTGATATAGTTCGTAGTTGATTCATGTAATGTTGCAATTTCAATGAGAATATATAGTTGATGCAATATTGCTATCGAAACTCAATTGAAAGGGTCATTTTGTAACTTACAAACAATTTGTCAGTAAGTTTTTCTGCTATATTGTCAACACGAATATAGCAGCAAAATAGATACAATATTGTATTTTAATATTACGAAATAAAGCTTCACAATATATTGTGGCAATATTTTGTAACATTACATGTTTAGTGGGAGGGGAAGTCCCTGGCACTTATTTTAGGGATGTCTCAGGGACTTCCTCCAGGGATGCTAATAGAATGTTCAAATTTTACATTTTGAATCTCATAACTTTGGCTTGTTCACAGAATGCGTTGTCACCTATTTATATTCTTAGGAATAATGAAGATTATTGAATGAAAACATAAGTCCTTTCCCACAAATGATTTGCGAAATTATACAATTGACTAACTGAGGCGATATATAGCCTACTAATATTCTTATGAAGTATGAAGAAACATCCGCAATTGTTTTTCTAAGCGCGAAGGTACCTACCTATCAACGAGTTGTCTGACGTTGTCACATCTCGCATACTGATTAGGAATATTAAAGAGTGTTTCCTTTTCACCGATCACCTGTGGCATGGCATACTTGGACATGCTTGGACGTTCTAAGAATTCACTATGATGGTGACATCCAACAAATGAGAAATGGGCATTAACATTCGCGTGCCGCGTTCTGCTTTTCGCATAACTTACCCAAAGCACCCCATGACATGTAACTAAATATCACCGAAACAATTCAAGGGGTGATTCTGTGATGAAAATTAAGGTGTTTATTTGAATGTAAAAACTTCACTAACAAAATGAGATTTCCACAAAATTATTGAACACACAACATGTTTGGCTAACACAGTAGCTTCGTCAGGTGATATATTGGTACAATGAACTAATAAACCAACGTTGGCTTGCTTAACTTTTATATATCCTACTTTCCCAACTTGAAGGATTAGTTACCTGTGGACAGGTTCGATAAACCTTTATTTTCGGAAATTAGGCACAATATCTACATTAAAATACGGTGTACCAGATTTACTTGAAAGGGTTGATAGCAAATAAATATTACCTACTAAGAAAACGAATTCAACGGTGGTGAACTATTGAGGTTTAATTGATCATCTGTTGTGAGAAGAATATCCCTGGCAGGAGCATGCCCATTCTTGTAGTATGCAGATAGCAGATAGGTACGTACCTATAGTACGATGTGCTACTTACCCAGCCAACCATGAGATGTATAAGTGATGTATACAACACATCACTTTATGACATACGATATCGCATTTGAAGTCACAAACATGTTACCGATACAACGTGGCGATGTGAAAATGTCCGACTCAAGCAACATCACTGTGACATCGTTCAGACATGAAATGCGACAAGTGTACATTTCATATTACAAATACATCACACTGCGACATCGATGATGTGGTCG